GCGCGCGCGAGTCGCGGGCGTGTAGAAAGTCCGCGGGATCGGGATCCGCGATAAATTTCGCGGAATTTACCGTCGAGATAAATCGAATTTCCATCGGGGCGAAAATAGCCCCGCGCCGTGTCTATAATGGCCTCCGTTCGGAACGGCCGCATAACTTCGGCTGTTTTATAGTCGGCGCGCCGCGTCGAGCCGCGCCGCGCGACTAGACCCAGACACGCCGGAATAGTCGGAATAATGTCACAGCCGGCAGCCGGCGATACCTAAATCCTGAATGAACGACTGAAACAAGCTGTTTTCGGCTTTCACGCCGAGCCGCCGCGCCGTTTCGGCCCGACGATTCCTCGACGCAGATTCTCCGCGCGGTTTTTCCACGCGAGAATCCGGGAGAATCGATCTTCCGTCGGAGATCTTCCTCGCGATCTTCGCTGACAATTGGTCTGACTAGTCTGGTAGAGTAATCTATCTATCGTTTAAAAAGAATTCGAGAGATTTGGTCGAGTTTCAACCCTTTGCGCTCGAGTGGCGAGTCCGAAGCGACGCTAAGAATTGTTGCACCGTTTTTTGAGATAATTCTAACAGTGACAGATTTGTTATATTAAAAGAAAAAGAAGCTGTTAAATTATTATAGACTAGTTTATCTATCGTTTAAAACGAATTCGAGAGATTTGGTCGAGTTTCAACCCTTTGCGCTCGAGTGGCGAGTCCGAAGCGCCGCTAAGAATTGTTGCACCGTTTTTCGAGATAATTCTAACAGTGCCAGATTTGTTATATTAAAAGAAAAAGAAGCTGTTAAATTATTAGATTAGTCCATCCATCGTTTAAAACGAATTCGAGAGATTTGGTCCAGTTTCAACCCTTTACGCTCGAGTGGCGAGTTCGAAGCGCCGCTAAGGATTGTTGCACCGTTTTTTAAGATAATTCTAACAGTGCCAGATTTGTTACATTTTTTAAAAAAAAGAAGCTGTTAAAACTGCAAGTATTGTACTTTCCAATAGGGTGAATTTCTTTGCATAAACCATATTTCAACCCTAATTTGCGTTGCCTTTATATTATAGTCCACTGGGAAAAATCGAATCATATAAAATCGTACAAAAAAAGAAAATCACACAAAAATGGAGAAAATATCGTATGAAATGAAAATACCGTGTATCAGAGTACATCTTTCGGATTTCGAATTGAAACAGCTTCGACTGCAAAGGATCACAAATTTCTCCCGATTTTTAGCGAGCGTTGTTGCAACATATAAGCCGCGAGTAACATATAATAAATTGAATAAATAACGTATCTATCGAATAAATTCGTATCTTTACGACACGAATAATCGCGAATTAAGAAATTAGTGACCCGCCATTTTGACGCGCGCCCTTAAATCCGGTGCTCATCGGAACCGTAACACCGTTGCAGCAAGTTTTGTACGGACTAGCCGTAAGCACCGTTAAGAAATCCAATTGTGGGCCCCCGGGTTCCGCGAACGCTCGCTCCGACTTTCGAACGAGCCTATTAAAATCGATTTTCCAGCGATTCTTCGGCAGCGACTTCGTACGTGTGGCCGCACGTAGGCACGCGAGCAGCAACGCGACATTCTCGACGCTGACGACGACGACGCCGCGCCGGGCTTACAAGCGAGCGTGTGCACGCCGAAGGAGGAAAACTCGTTTGCGTGTCTTTTTTGAGCGGGATCCGGGTCTCGATTATGCGTCCGCGAGAATTCACTGGACCGGACGGTCCCCTGGAAAATCGCGGGGCAAAAAGAGGCGACGCGGAACCGATCGAAAAAAATACCAATTTACAGAGCCGTCGCGCGATTGCTCGTTAAATACCCGCTCTATCGAACTCTTTCCTCCCTCCTCCCCCCTGCGCCGCTCCTTTTTTCCTCTTTGATCCGCTCGAGCGCCGATAAAATTAGAGTCGAACGCGCGTTCCTTGCGCCGGCTGATCGCCGTTTAACTCCTCGTAAAGTGTCCCGAATCGACAGCGATAACTGCGGAGAGTACGATAGCCGCTTTAAAAACAAAGAAAACACCGTTCAATTTAACCCTACCCCGCCGCGCCGATTCCGCTTCCCCGCCACGTTGTTTACAATCCGCGATATACGTACATTTGTCCGCGCTGGAATTCATTTTCCCTCGGCGCCGCAGGTAATCCGCGAATTACTTTGCGAGCCGCGACGCGTATTTAAGCGAGGATCCTTAACGTTTTATTTACTGGAAGCTTGTTAAAGTGCCCCCGCGACGATTCGACCGTGTCCGAGAGAATTTCGCTTCGATGCCGAAGTAAATTCTACCCTAATTGACGCTCTCGGATTGCGCGGAAGAAATGGACGATTTCGGAGGAGGCGATAGGATCGTTCGAGCCTTGCTGCTCGTTTTTATAATTGCCGATAACCGGCGACTTTAAAAAATGAGGTGCGAGTACGCGATTATGATAAGCGTAAGTCCTCTTCTCAAGTTGTCCAGTTTTCTGCACGATCCGAGCGTCGGTGTCAAGGAGAATTATTTTATTTTATTATTTATTTTACTTTATTTTATTATTTATTATTTTACTTTATTTTATTATTTATTATTCTACTTTATTCTACTTTACTTTATTATTTATTATTCTATTTTATTTTACTTTACTTTCTTATTTATTATTTTATTTTATTCTACTTTACTTTATTATTTATTATTCTATTTTATTCTAATTTATTATATTAGTTATTATTTTATTTTATTCTACTTTACTTTATTATTTATTATTCTATTTTATTCTAATTTATTATATTAGTTATTATTTTATTTTATTCTACTTTACTTTATTATTTATTATTCTATTTTATTCTAATTTATTATATTAGTTATTATTTTATTTTATTCTACTTTACTTTATTATTTATTATTCTATTTTATTCTAATTTATTATATTAGTTATTATTTTATTTTATTCTACTTTACTTTATTATTTATTATTCTATTTTATTCTAATTTATTATATTAGTTATTATTTTATTTTATTCTACTTTACTTTATTATTTATTATTCTATTTTATTCTAATTTATTATATTAGTTATTATTTTATTTTATTCTACTTTACTTTATTATTTATTATTCTATTTTATTCTAATTTATTATATTAGTTATTATTTTATTTTATTCTACTTTACTTTATTATTTATTATTCTATTTTATTCTAATTTATTATATTAGTTATTATTTTATTTTATTCTACTTTACTTTATTATTTATTATTCTATTTTATTCTAATTTATTATATTAGTTATTATTTTATTTTATTCTACTTTACTTTATTATTTATTATTCTATTTTATTCTAATTTATTATATTAGTTATTATTTTATTTTATTCTACTTTACTTTATTATTTATTATTCTATTTTATTCTAATTTATTATATTAGTTATTATTTTATTTTATTCTACTTTACTTTATTATTTATTATTCTATTTTATTCTAATTTATTATATTAGTTATTATTTTATTTTATTCTACTTTACTTTATTATTTATTATTCTATTTTATTCTAATTTATTATATTAGTTATTATTTTATTTTATTCTACTTTACTTTATTATTTATTATTCTATTTTATTCTAATTTATTATATTAGTTATTATTTTATTTTATTCTACTTTACTTTATTATTTATTATTCTATTTTATTCTAATTTATTATATTAGTTATTATTTTATTTTATTCTACTTTACTTTATTATTTATTATTCTATTTTATTCTAATTTATTATATTAGTTATTATTTTATTTTATTCTACTTTACTTTATTATTTATTATTCTATTTTATTCTAATTTATTATATTAGTTATTATTTTATTTTATTTTACTTTACTTTATTATTTATTATTTTATTTTATTCTACTTTACTTTATTATTTATTATTTTATTTTATCGTATTATTACATTATATTGTTACATCACATTAATCTAAATAATTCAATGGATCATAGGTCCGAGTATTGCAGTTTCTAAACACGAATGATCGTAAATGAAAAAATTTGTGCCCCGTCATTTCGACGGGCTCCGTAAATCCAGACGTTAATTGCGAGGTTCGCGGTCTTCCGTTAAGTGGACGGAGTCGCGGGGAAAGAAGGGCGGAACGGCCTGAAAGGGCGAAATGGAAGCACACGAACGGTTGTTCCTCGCGTTTTCCCCTGCACGATTTCTTTGGTTTTCGCTGGCGTCACGCGGCGTTTCCTACACGCGGCTCGCCTGATTCACGATTCAGAAAGCGTCGAGGCAACAGCTTCCGGTGGACGTCACACGCGCATCCTTCCCTTCCCCCACGGGCCCACGAAGAAAGGCGCGCGTTTTACGCGTTTCCATTCGACGGTACGCGCATCGCACGCGCGGAAACCGTCGGCGGAATCTTCAACGAGCGTTCTCGCTACTCGGAACGACCTTTCGCCGAACTCGCGGACGACCTTTCGGCGAACTCGCGGACGACCGTTTTCCGCGATACACTTTTCCTCAACGAGATTTTGACGCATAGAAGCCTGTCTTATAGAGATTCTGGTCTTCAGAGTCAATAAACTGTGGTACGAAATTTTTCGGACTGCCTTCGTTTTCGTACTGTTAGCAAAAACTGTTCTAAATGTTTAAAAAATATGGAAGACGGCCGGGGAAAGATCCGGCGAATAAATTAGGCGCTGCAGAATATCATAGTTTAACTAATTTCACGCGTAAAGATAATCCGACATTTCGTATGCATTACCCTAAATATTATAAATATTTATATTTTGTGTTATCCGGCTACCGAAAATTCGTAATATTTATTTATTATTACTCGCACAAATAATTTATTCAGCATCGATGCTTGCTGATGCGTACGCCAATGAATCCCAAATAATTAGGCGCCGTCGCAGTACGCAACGATATATGTTATCGTCGTTCGGCACTTTTCGCAAGTGTTTGGAACAATGATATATCGTCGTTCAGTACACTAAAAGGGCTAGAAACAGACGTGAATCGGTCGTCGGATGCACTTACTTTGCAGAGCGCGACGCCGGTGTCCAGTCTGTCCATAAAATTGTCGACGTTGATTCGCAGCTCCGGGTAAAGTGCGTTCAGCCATTCCGCCAAGTCCTCTTTCATCGCCACCAGATACTCCTCGGAGGACTTGAACGGCCTGTAGGACCTCGCTTCCAGTAGAACCGACATCTTGGCCTGGTTTATCTGGAAAACGAATCGGTTCGAACAATTGTAACAAATTAAGGAGAATTTACTCATCTTAATAGTTAATTAATTAATAGTATTAATATTATTTATATAATTATTTGTATAATATATATATATGTAAGTAATAATATTAATAATATGTATATAATTATTTATATAATAATAATATATATATGTAATAATATTAATAAGATTTTTGTAATCATTTATATAATAATATAATATTATATAATATTAATATATATATAATATATAATAATAATATATAGAAGTAATAATATTAATAATATTTATATAATTATTTACATAATAATATAAGTAATAGTATCAAACTTAATTAATTAATTAATGTAACTCGGTTAAACAAAAATTACAAAGCAAATTTTAGAGCGTAGCTCCTGCAAATCTTAATGAAATCAAGCAATCATTTCTAATGTTTCATTAATCATCCGTTCGGTCATCGATCGACCGAATTTAAAACAGAGAGATAATTCGGTTGGCTAAGTATTGAATAATATTAAATATAATTTGTCAATTTATACAGTTCCCATGAGCCACCGAAGCGATCGCCTATCCAACCCTTTCAACAGACTCGCCGGCGTATTAGTACACAACCGTGAAATGTATCGCGGACGGGCAATAAAATCAGCCAAGATTTGCAAGACAATGGTCCGTCCATATTGTCGATCGCCCCAGAGACTCTCCCCCAGTTACCGGGCCGGTTAAACCGCCCTATAACGTGTCAGAAACGTGCACTAACGTGCCCTATCGCGATTGCTGCACCCTGCACCCCTGGCTACCCTTGCAAACCACCGTCCCTCTCTCTCTCGTGATCCGGCTACGTTCCCAGCTTCGCCCCTTTCCACCACTCCTAGCAACGATCGGCAATTCTCCGTTCCTCGATTCGCAAATATTTCAGCGTCGGCCGATCCGTTCTATTCCGCGAAATACGCGCAGCGACCCGCAAAAAGTGATCGTAGAAAACGCGAGCACAGCGCGACGACGATCGTCATCGAGAAGAGCGCAAGAGGATCAATTAACCCTTTCGCTACGGGCGGGTTCTCCACCGCGGTACTTCCGCTGAACGGAGCGCCGCGACGCCGATCGTCAGCGGGAGTACCGCGGCGGAGAACCCAAGCTGCTTGAATGTTTTCGTACGAAAAAATTTCTCTCCAAAGGGTATTTATAAATAAAGGGTATTTCAGGGTATTTATAACGTCTTAGCATGCGCTCTTTTATTTACAGTATGAGAGGAAATAACATTATGCAATATAATGCATCTTATGGAAGGCCACTATAGTGGCCCATAGTACCTCAGTGGCATCTTATGAAAGGCCACTATAGTGGCCCGTAGTACCTCAGTGACATCATACGAAAGGCCACTATAGTGGCCCGTAGTACCTCAGTGACATCTTATGGAAGGCCACTATAGTGGCCCATAGTACCTCAGTGGCATCTTATGAAAGGCCACTATAGTGGCCCGTAGTACCTCAGTGGCATCATACGAAAGGCCACTATAGTGGCCCGTAGTACCTCAGTGACATCTTATGGAAGGCCACTATAGTGGCCCATAGTACCTCAGTGGCATCTTATGAAAGGCCACTATAGTGGCCCGTAGTACCTCAGTGGCATCATACGAAAGGCCACTATAGTGGCCCGTAGTACCTCAGTGACATCTTATGGAAGGCCACTATAGTGGCCCATAGTACCTCAGTGGCATCATACGAAAGGCCACTATAGTGGCCCGTAGTACCTCAGTGACATCTTATGGAAGGCCACTATAGTGGCCCATAGTACCTCAGTGGCATCTTATGAAAGGCCACTATAGTGGCCCGTAGTACCTCAGTGGCATCATACGAAAGACCACTATAGTGGCCCGTAGTACCTCAGTGACATCTTATGGAAGGCCACTATAGTGGCCCATAGTACCTCAGTGGCATCATACGAAAGGCCACTATAGTGGCCCGTAGTACCTCAGTGACATCTTATGGAGGGCCACTATAGTGGCCCGTAGTAGCGAAAGGGTTAAGTCGAGGGCCCGTTGAGCAAAAAATTGAATCTGGGACCAGGTGAGACACTGTTCGACAGAGCGATGGGTGGCGCGCAGGGTGCGGGGCCTCGAGGCGAAGGCAGGAAGTATCGGCGCGGCGCGGCGCGGTGCGGCGGTGTAAAACGAAACGCGCTCGTTTCCATACACCTACCCGAAGGCAGGCGGCGAGGGACTTTCACGAGTCGCGATGGCTATCGCCTCGTAATTCCTCTCTAGGCTCGCGCCTTGCTCGCTCGTCCGAATTTTTCCGATTCCGACACCTCTTGCTAAACGGGCGCGCATGAAACGCCAACGTTAGGCGACTCCGCTCCGGCCGGTAATTGGCCGGGGATCGTGTTGTGCCGGTCGCGAGGCGGCTCGTAAACCTGTCATAAACCCCGTTGAACGCGAGTTAACTCGTCATTTGTATTCCATTATAATTTCCCCCGATGATTTTCCGCCGTTTATTCGCGAACGGCCGCGCCGGCAACTTTACGGCCGCTGGAACACCGTCGGACACAAATCGACGCGACCGTTAATTGAATACTCTCCCGACGCCCTTCTTTCTTTTTTTTATCGCGACTCGGCCCGTAATCGTTCGATTAGTCGCAACGCGGTTCGCGTTATTTGCTCGCGACCCGGCGGAACGATCCTCGCGCGGGGGCACCCACTGCTGCACCCGAAAGTGCTCGCGCACCCTCGGAACCGCAAATAAATAAATGGTCGCGTTTTCGCTCCATTAAATAATAAGAATAATATTTTGTATATCTGTATCGATAGCTTTCGTTGGTTTATAATTATTTATTCTGCGTCAAAATATTATATAACGAATTAGTATTACAATTAGGCATTAGCATAGGCAATAGTGTAAGGTATTAATATTAGGCTCATTTCAGACGCGTCAAGCGAGGTAATATAATTCTGGCCAAATAAATCAATCCGGCAAATATCGCACCGTGTAAATAAACGATAAATTTCAGCCAGATCGGATTGAAAAAATTCACCCAAGATTCGCCCGGGGGCCCGAATTTAACAGAGTTAAATCATCGGGTCGGGAACAAAGCGGGACCGTTCTCGCCGCGATCAAAGTGCCTCCGTGGTACAAATGAATTTTCCACGAGGACAATAGACAAAGAATTCCGTTCTTTGTTCCGCGGGAGGGGAGGGAGGGAACGCGGCGGGCAGGGCGGCGATTAAACACGCGGCCGAACCCGATGAATTGCTTGTCGGCTACACTCTTTTCGAGAGCGCGCGCGCGCGCGCTCGCGCGAGCGGCCCGGCTAATGCAAACTGTCGGCATTTTAACGAGCAAGTATCGGGTCCCGGTGTCGCCAATCTCGCCCCATTAAGATGCCGATAGGCCGCATTTGTCGCATATTTTCGTCGAGCTTTATTTGGCCACGGCCTGTCGGGATCTCTGCGCGCGGCCGGAGAGCCAGCCCATCGATCCTCGACATCTCGGCGGCGGCTCGGAGACCCGCTTTTTGCGTACAAAAGTCTATTTTTTAAGTTCAGTATAGTCGAAGAAATTCTCATTTAACACGTTCCGTGCCGAGCTTCTTTTACTCGAATCTTCACACTTTGATATTTTACTAAAACTTGATGTATTACGTGCAATTATTAATTCTCGTACACGTAACAACGTAATAAAATCTTATCAACGCCCATTCTTGCGGTGGAAATTGATTCTTCGGTTCTAAATTTCTTGTAAACAATTTGTTCAGTTCACTAAGTAAACATGCAAGCGTGTACCATCGATGGTACACGTGGCACGGAACGTGTTAAGTGATAACACTTCGATGGCTTTCGAAATTATTATTCGTTTCGGACGATCGATCGTAAAATTCGAAGTGAACGTTAATCGTTTTGCTCACCGATTTTCCAGTAAATTACATGGTAAAGGAGACTAAAAAACGGTCGAAACGTATTCGAAATAATTTTATACTTAGATTTTGTCGCGTTTAATCATTCGCAGTCTTATTATGCACCGTTTATCTTGAAAAAGTGGTACAAGTCCATTATTCTTCTTCTTTTCTTTTTAGTTGTAAATAAAAAGGTTGCACAAAACTGATCATAAATTATGTGATAGCTCATCTTTTTTTTAAAAAATGGACTTACGCCACTTTCAATATAAATGGTCCATTATTATCGAATCGGACAAAGTCCAGGTATAAAATTATTTCGAATATGTACTAATTGTTTCTAGTTTCATTTACTATTTCCTTACTTTCAATACTTTTTCNTTTGATATTTTACTAAAACTTGATGTATTACGTGCAATTATTAATTCTCGTACACGTAACAACGTAATAAAATCTTATCAACGCCCATTCTTGCGGTGGAAATTGATTCTTCGGTTCTAAATTTCTTGTAAACAATTTGTTCAGTTCACTAAGTAAACATGCAAGCGTGTACCATCGATGGTACACGTGGCACGGAACGTGTTAAGTGATAACACTTCGATGGCTTTCGAAATTATTATTCGTTTCGGACGATCGATCGTAAAATTCGAAGTGAACGTTAATCGTTTTGCTCACCGATTTTCCAGTAAATTACATGGTAAAGGAGACTAAAAAACGGTCGAAACGTATTCGAAATAATTTTATACTTAGATTTTGTCGCGTTTAATCATTCGCAGTCTTATTATGCACCGTTTATCTTGAAAAAGTGGTACAAGTCCATTATTCTTCTTCTTTTCTTTTTAGTTGTAAATAAAAAGGTTGCACAAAACTGATCATAAATTATGTGATAGCTCATCTTTTTTTTAAAAAATGGACTTACGCCACTTTCAATATAAATGGTCCATTATTATCGAATCGGACAAAGTCCAGGTATAAAATTATTTCGAATATGTACTAATTGTTTCTAGTTTCATTTACTATTTCCTTACTTTCAATACTTTTTCACGATTAACTATAGTCTACATATATATAAATATATTAATAATAAAATATATATTTCCGCTGTT